CCCAGGGGGACAGCTTGAGGCTCTGTCTCAAAAAAAAAAAAAAAGCTTAATCTAATACAGGAGTAGGCAAATGGTAGGTCCCCAATAAATCTTTGTTGAAAAGTGAGTAAGTGAAAACTATAATTGCATATTTTTTCCCTAGATACACTAATCTATGAACCTTAAAATGACCAAATTGCCACAACAGCCTCTGGCTGGTAAATAGCCACATGGCCAACTGCCAGCAAGGCCAGCCCCATCCCTTAAGTGTGCCCACATCCTATGCTGCTGGCAGCCCAAGATGAAAACTGACCACCTACCCCAAGGACTTAACTCACAGATATATAAGCAGGTGACAGACAGCTTAGATAGGAGTCAGCATATGTGTTTTGTAAAAGGCCAAAAAGTAAATATTTCGGCTTGGCAGGCACATGGCTTCTCACTACTCCCCTCTGCCCTTGTAGTGTAAGCACAGCCATTAACAACTCAATGTGGCTGCATTCTAGTAATAACTCACAACAGACAGTAGGCTAATAGTCAGAGCCTTCTACGTACATGACAAACTGATCAATTCCAAGGGGTGGACGAACGGTCAATGAACTCCTGGCCCCTTCCACCTAAGCAAGCAAGACTGATGAGATTTCCTTTCCCAGAGCTGTAGTCAAGGTCTTTTACTCCAGAAAAGCAGCCAAACATGCAACTTTCCCCAGCACCCACATGGACCTGTGCCTTTAACTCTCCCTCTTCAGTGGCACATACTCCAGGATTCTGCAATCAGTCAAATCTGTTCAACTGCAGATTCAATGCAACTGCTGAACAACAGAAAAGCAATACAATGTGCCTATATTTTGGTCACCTAACAAGACTGTCATCATTTGAGTGGTGTGAGGAGGAAACAGGACAAAACTAAGCAACTTCAGTGAAATCACATGGCCATCACTCCCCCCATTCCCCGCTTTCTCCCTGCAGGACACTTACTTGATTTTCAGCAAGTTGAGGGATTTGTTGGATGATGCTGTTATCTCTCCAGTCTTATTTCTATTGATGTAAACTGAGAAGCCATTATTTTGGAAGCCAAACTCCTTTGCAACCTGAAACAAGCCCCAACAACCATGGTTTAATAAAATATTTAAGTACTACTAAACTCAGCACATATACATTAGACTAGAGAAACACTCACTAGGTTTAAAACGTCTCATCAGGCTGGGCGCCTGTAGCTCAAGTAGCTAAAGTACCAGCCACATACAACTAAGGTGGTGGGTTCGAATCCAGCCTGGGACCACCAAAACAATGATGGCTGCAACCAAAAAATAGCTGAGTGTTGTGGCAGGCACCTGTGGTCCCAGCTACTTGGGAGG